GTTGACAAAAACTTTTTCGGCACGGTGTCATATGTCGCGCGTTCTCTCGCTGCGCGCCGTTCGCCCGCTCACCGCTCCCCGCTCACCCCCGTCTCTCATCGATCGATGCGTGACTCCACCTCTCGCTATCGATTTTTGAGAGATGTCAACAAACACACCATTTTGCATGCTGCCGAGTCCGGCCTTCCGCTCCTCCGTGCACTTATTGGCTCAGACGTTTTTCTTAATTAGGCGATAATAATTACGGATTTTGTAAAATTTTATACAACTTTTCTTCTCAGTTTAACCCAATCTACTATAATCTTTGGGGTCGGCCATATCGAATCTGACACCCTGTATATTCTATACAACAGCGAAATGAAAAATCGATATCCACCGAACGAATTGATTAATCATGTTAGGTGAACCTCAGTTTCTTATTGTCGCAAAACTAATCTCGCAAGTACCACGTTGCGACAATTGCAAGCGTTTTATCAGGTAATTTCTGTCGGGGCATTTTTCTTGCTGGAAAAAAATTCTATACTACTCTTGTTCAATTTCGTGAAAACCTATGAAACGATCTCAACTATCGTCTTCTCGACGATCCTTGTGCGACGTCCGCAAGAAATACAGAACGCAAGGAAAAGTGATAATCAGCATTTCTCTGCGTGCTGTAACGAAAACGTGTATGACTGACAACGTGGTTCACTTTTGTACCGGTGTCTCACGCATTGGCGAGCAGACTGAAAACGTGAAACATCGTAGCCGACATTTACCCGTTCTATCTTTCGCAAAAGTTTCCTCCTCTCCCTCGATTTCCCGGAACTCCTGGATTTCGCGCCTTTTCGCGAAGAAATGGAAGCAGTTGTGGAAGGATAACCGGAATCCCGCCGTGAAGTTTTCGCGAATGCAACATTTCCTCGCACCTTCGTCATTCTAAAGCGAGGCACTTCGCTATTACGATTCTCCGAGTCGACGCCTTCCTTTGTGAGATAAATACCTGACCGCATTAATTACTATGAGCCCGGCAATGTTTGCAAGGAACTAAATTAAGTCGACGTTCGAGGCGGCGCTTTGCCGACGGGAATATTACGACGAGAAAGTTGCGACGCAGCTACTTAGTTTTTCCGGTAAATACCAAAATCTTAGAAGGATATCAGGATATTACATACTTTTACGTAATATTACAGCATTGGAAATTCATAAAGGGAAGGTAATTTTGCAGCGAGGCAATAATCCCGCGACGATAGAATATAACGAAAGCCGCCACTCACTTTGACATTTGTTGCCAAAGAGGGATATTTCAAGTCAAATTTTTATCCATTCATATATAGCTGCAATAATGTATTTCACGCGTGTCTCTTCGCCTGAAATTCAAATGTAAAGTCACTATCTTCTTGCGTCGCGAAAGGCATTGAGGAATTTGTATCGGTTTCCTGTGAGGCTGAAGCAAAGAGTGAAAATCCAGGGGTAACTTCGTTTCGCTTAAGAACGGCGAGATATATCGACACTTACAGCGACGCCGAGATTTTAACAGAATCCGATATCACTTTCTAGAAATCGAGAATCTTTCCATATTGAGACGAAGCGTATTTCGAGTACACTTTTTACTCTGTTATTGTGAGAATATCATGAATATTTCTCAAGTACGCGAACGACGGTTCGAGGATTACGTAAAGCGATCAACGTATCGCTATCGTGTTTCCACGAAGTTAAAAGTATGAGCAAGCTATAAGGATATGAATATGTATAAATAAATATATGGATATTTAAGTGAAGCTGACGGGTACAATAAAAATTAATTGAATATTTGAATAGAAATTTTCGCAATTTGATTTGGGCAAAGATTGGTCGTTATCGTTTATGTTTGTAAAATGTTTCCAACTATATTGGGTCATTTTCTCTTCTAGATCCGATTGGGTTCGAAAGACAGCTAATCCAACTAATTCAACGTATTTTTGTTTTACAGAAGAGAGCAACAGGTCAAGAACGGACGGGGAAACTTCAGATCGAGCGTCCGAAAGTTATCTCCGCTAGGAAATTTTATCAGGCAGCATTTGGTGAGTCCTTCCCTCTAATTTTCCTCCTCGTCAAATTAATTGCAGACGCGCCGTTTATTTTCTTTCGAAAAGACACCTTGTATGTATAATAATTCGCAGCATATTCGTTGCGATAAAATCAATGGTCGTCGCAAATATTGCCGGTAGAATCGATGCTCTAATAAAAATGACCAGTCAGCTGTACTTGCTATAAAAACAACTCGCGTGGCTTTATTAAATCTGCCTTCATTAAATTTATTGAAAAAAGATCTTTTTTTTTTTCTCTCTCTATAAGTATCTAATTAACATTCATGCACACAGTGCACGCGGAGTAATATATTTTTTGCAAAATGATTTTTTATAATATAAATTAAATTTACGTACGATATTTGCATATTCATTGCACGTTCGAGCTGCATTTAAATCGAAAAACTTTATTTATATCCGTGCAGATAACATATCATTGATATTTGATATTTTGCCGTCAAGGAAAACTTGCTTTTTAAATCGGCGAATAAGGTCTGTTTATTATTCAAGAATATTCAGCGCAAGAGTTAAAAGCTTTTACACGGAATTAACGCAACGCCCACATAAGCTTATCGGCGAGTATTCTCATTATTTAATTCAAAGGAGTCGAATTGTGTGATTATCAAAGCTGACTTTTTCTATTTATTCGGAATGAAAATATTGCCCGCTAATTGAAAGTAATACTAGTCGTAATTAAATCGTCGCCGTGGTCCATTATCGGACCGGCTGATCGCTCGAAAATTACAAAGGTCAATTCACGAGCCGATAAGCAAAGGTCACTGATTCGCGTGACCTCGTCCCCGTATCTCTCCAGCCCCTCCACATTTACGCGAGAGATCCGATCCCGCCTGCGAGTCCGGACGAGACATCCGGAAGCGCACGATCGAGTTGGTGTCCGGGAGATAAAGCGAAAATTTCACAGCCTCGGACTCAGAGCGATGGACGAGTGCTGCAAGATTTACTATCGGTTAGCAAGAGAGAGAGAGAGAGAGAGAGAGAGCGAGGAAGATCCAGCACTGTGGCGAGAGGGAGGGAATAAGAATAAAAACCGTAGCCAGAGAGAGAGAGGGGGGGGGGGGAGTAGCGCGGCGATTCCTGCGCAATGGCGGATTCACTTATAAATGATTCAAGCGGTGGACCAAGTCGCTTTCCGAAATTCGCAACTTATTGCTATTCACACCGTTCGTTTGCGATTACTATAACAATTTCCTATCGCTGTCCTCCGTATTGGGTAGAATGCTCTGAACTATTACATTATACAAGTGCATAGGTTTACAGATTTTCGGCTGTACTTCGCTTAAAGCCTTCGGCGCTCTGAAATCCGCCACCGCGCGAGGATCCATCTGCCACCTTTCGTTCCTTCGCGTCGGCCTCGCCTTTCCTCTTTCCCCTTCGCCCCGCTGCCCCCTCTGAGTGTCCGCGGGGACGGATTCCTCGCGCTTCCGTAATAGAAGTGTCATCCGAAAATGTTTTCCATCCCCAAGCGCAGCAACCGCGCTCTCGTTCCCTGCGATTTTTATTGGCCCGGTAACTTCGCCATCTATCACCTGGCTCTTCCTTTTCGATGTTAACATTCCACCGCCGCGCGGCTCGCTCAGATTATTGTGCTTCGCCGATGCCGGAATTTATCCTGGCTTTCAGAGCGGAAATTCGAAGAGCCTACCGCAAAAAAAGAAAAAAATGAAAGTACCCGGACGAACAATTTTAGCAAAAAAAAAAATGCCAACATCTCTCCGAAGATATCGAGGAATACTGGACATTTCGCAGCTCACTGCGAGCACCGTGCTCCGCACTTCCCTTTTTGCTGTCCCGCGAAACGAGATATTTAATCGCGTATCTTAAAATAGGATCCCTCTCGGCGACAGAATGAAACAAGAGAAAAATGCGAGATGATCGATCGGGAGGGGAAATGACGATCGGGGACTCAAACAAGCACGTCAATGAGCGGCAAGACGCGAAGAAAGGTCACTTCGGCTCTTACGTCAATTCCACGCGGCGGATCGCGCATCGACCGCAACCACTGCGTGTCGGTAATGGCCTTTGCGTCGACCGCGACCACTCGCGCGTCCGATCGCGGCGCGACCGCTACCACTGAGCGCGATCGATCAAACTCGTAACGTGGTCGGCTTCCTCGGCCGTTCGTTAACGTTAAACCGAACCACGGTGGGTGGTGCAGGAAGGAAAGAAGGATTTATCGTCCACCAGCGACTTCGTCGTGTCTTCTAATCCCGCCTAATGGCAGCATAAATTCGTACAAGCATTCTTAGCGTCTCGCTCCGCTTTACGTTTCTTCCTCATCTCTTCCTTTTTCCTTTCGCCGATCACGCGAGCTTATAGCAAAGTATTTCCTACCGTTCGATCACGATCATCGGTGAAAAATTAAGGTAATTTCCTCCTCCTCCTTCTCCTCCTCCTCCTCCTCTCTTTCTCTCTCTTTGCCTCTCTAATTATCGCTGCGTTGCAGCTACCGCGATCGAAAACATTGCAAGCTCGAATCGCGAATCCGTTGCAGACGCGAACGTACGCGGCGAAAGGATGCAACTTGCGTGCGCAAATGCTTTTATAACCGCCGGTCGTTTAGGAAGTCTTAATCGCGCGCATAAACGTTCGCTGAATCGTGCTCGCATAATGCCGGGTCGTAACCGTTGCGCTTATGCCGGGCGACTCGGCTAAATGATGTTACAACGCCGGCTTTCCTGACTCGTCTCGGATTGACAATTATTGCTCCGTCTCCGGCGCTCGCTGTCAACGCCGCAGAGGCGCAGAGACAGCGACGCGGACAATCGTTTGCAATACGTGCCTTCTTGCTAGGATTCGTTCGTATTGCGCAACACTCGCGAGATCAAATCTATTTGCATCGTCGCAATCTCCCCCTGACGTTTACGTCGTCGGAGTAAGGCGGCATTATCTAGTAATGAGACATAATGCGTCAAGGAATTTGTTCGCGCGACAAATATTCATAAGCAAGCAGGGCAATAACTTCTTAATCTGAACAAATGTTTCAATATTCATAAAATTATATCTACAATCATCGAGGGTGACGTTCGGGACGTGACTGCAAGAGATCTAGTTGTCCTTAGCTAGGAAGAATTTATTAAAACGTTGCAGTCAATCGCGTTCCACGGGCTTAACCAGATGCCCACTCGTATTTCTGTATTTATCAGGCGAGCTTTTATTTTAATACGCTTCTAATTTAAGACACAATTACAAAGGTGTCTGAGAGTGGAAGGAACAGACAGCTCTATATTTTATCGAAATATCACGCGATACAAGCATCCGCAACATTACTGTCGGTCTGCCGCAATTATCTCGGAGTGACGGGTGCTCGATCCGCTGTCACCACGAGCTTTGTCATTCTCCGCGCGGTCGGCATCATCCGAAGATGTGCTCACGTCGCTCCGAGATCGAACCGCGAGTGTGGGCGAGCCCACGCGAGAATATCTTGAAAGGCATGAAATGCATGATTTCTCGATGAATGCACAAAATGCGCGCGCTTTAAAGAATCGGGCGTACATATTGAAACAGAAAGAGGATGAAATTTGATGAGCGAATTCATGAGAAAGATAGTAAGAAAATTATTTTTCAAAAAACGCCAAGTCTTAATTTTAGTTAAATATAACAAAAGATGATGATGTCGACAATAACTGGCACATATGTTTATTTAAAACATATAGTGTTTTAAATAAACATATGTGCCAGTTATTGTCGACATCATCATCTTTTGTTATATTTTTCTTCACCCACTGGCGATCCACCTTCTCCAAGTTTGTTAATTTTAGTTATTTGTATGATATTCACGCTTATTAGTTCGTCGCGACAAATTTATTGCGATAGTTGGCAATGCTATTTCACAGTGTTGTATAAGTCAATGGATTAGTAATATCAGAGAAATATCGTAAGGACATTTTCCCTTTTCCCTTTCTAAAAAAAGAGACGTTACCGGCGTGAATGTCGTTAATATCGTACAGTTGAGACCTCTTTTCCGCGATGTCGATTGGTTTTCTCGAAGTGCGATACGCTTCACTTCTCTTTTAGAATCGTGTCATGCTTCAGCTCGCATGTGAACTTTGACAGTTGTACAAAAATATATAGCACTTAAAGAAAGTTAGAAACTAAACAAAAAGTTAAAGAAAACGAAGTTAAAGTTAAATATCTAATTGAGTGAAGGAGAATGAAAGAAATTCTTATTCTTCTAATGAGATACAACGATAACTAATCTTCTTTTTAAAAAGGTATATAAGAGATTTAATTATTGACGCTGCTCCGCGATGCTGATTTTCTCACTTGGCTTTCTACTGCGAGTAGAGTGCAGAGATCATGTGCATTTTGACAGAGTGTCAACGTCTGATTACGTCTTCTTCACACGAGACAAATCATAATGTGTGAAGAAGATCATGAATAAATATAAATTAAAACCAAATAGCGGGCGCAATGCTATTTCCAACAAAGCATTTAATACCAATTTACATTATTATTAAAGTAAATAATGCGATAATTTTTGCTCGTAATAAATGAAGATTTGTAATTCAGTAATATACATTTGTATGAATTAACTATTGAGGTAAAATCTCTAATCTTAGTAATTAGAATTTAGGTAACAACGATTTTTGTTTCGAAACCTTTTCTCGATTTAACAGAATTAATCGTTAATTTAATCAATACCAATAAGTCCGCAGAATGATTCGCAAAACGTAGTAACGGTCGCGGAACAAAGTAATGTAAAATATTAACGGAATTTTCCATTACGTAGACAGGACAACGAATTCTCAACGTTTTTTTGTTGTTTTTCACTCGGCGCAGTATCGTACGACGTTACGCGGGCCAAAGTTTACCTGAAGGTCGCCGCGTTCTCACTCGCTCGCCGAACGTCGAGCCGGCAGGCAGTGGCGAAAGTCGCTCCGTGCGTGATTATACTTTTGCGTCTCCGTGGCATTACTTTGCGTTATCGGACTCGATCGCGGTGAATGCAGGGATAAAACACTATTGATTTGCAC